GTTCTGGCTTTAAGCTTGATTGGAAATTTGAACACTCAATGATAGTTCAACAAAAAGCCTACTAGGAAGATGTATACTTAAATTTGTATCCTCCACTCATATAATAAAGGTCCCCATTAGGAGTGTACGCAAGTGTTTCTTAGACTGAAAATATGTATATGAACCAGCTTGGTAAATTGTAGAGTATGATTAAAAGGTTGGAAGAGTGGAATATAGATGCTGTTTTTCTACCATGAGTCTATATATGATGCTTGTGACCCCGCCTGAGCATTATATATTGGATAGTACATAGAAGATCCCTTCCAAAACTCCTAGAAAATCATTGATAGAACACATTAAAATCACATGTGTATATGTGAAAACACTGTAAACAGCAAAATATCTCTATAAAACTTTGTGTTGGTTAACAATATTTGAGAATTCAATTCAAATAATCATGAAAAAGTTGTAGTAGAACAAATTGGTATAGCTTTTGTGTGTCAATTTCAAAAACAACTTTTGAAATACCCAGCCCTCCAGATATTCTTCAGTTTTTCTTTCTTAGTAAAGTCAATGGGGAATTGGCAAGATAACAGAGATAGTCATGCTGAACAGTCTTTTGTTTTGACTACTGGAGGGTTTACTTCATGTGACCATTTTGACCAAGCACTCACATATTTTTTAGAAGTGTGTTTAAGTAGAGTCTGCTGTGTCTGGTTGACTCTACAAGTTGTTTCATATCAATTAAAGTAGAAGTAGAAAAATGTGAAGAGGAGAAAGGGGGCTGGAGAGAGAGAGAGAAAAAGAGAGAGGGGGGAGAGGGAGAGAGAGAGAGATAAGGCTAAGAGTATATATTGCTCTTGCAGAGGGTCCAAGTTCAGTTCCTAGCATCTGTATCAGGAGACTCACAACTGCCTGTAACTCCAGTTCTGGGGGAATTCATCACTCTGGCTTTCAAGAGCACCTGTGCTCACCTGCACATACTCTCCAGAAAAACACAAGCACATGATTAAAAATAAAATAAAAATCTGAAAATATAAGGAAGAAGAAGAGGAAAGTTAATTCTAAGAGTGTTGGCAACATGAAAGGATTACCATGAAGCAAAAAGTTAATACTGAACAGGTAGAGCATTTGCCATTACATGGGAGGCACCAGGTTCAGTAAACCACCTCTCTCTCTGTCTCTCTCTCTCTCTCTGTCTCTCTCTCTCTGTCTCTCTCTCTTTCTCTGTCTCTCTCCTCTCTCTTTCTCTCTCTCTTCTCTCTCTCTGTCTCTCTCCTCTCTCTTTCTTTGTCTCTCTCCTCTCTCTTTCTTTGTCTCTCTCCTCTCTCTCTTCTCTCTCTCTCTCTCTCTCTCTCTCTCACACACACACACACACACACACACACACACGCACGCACACCTAACAAAACAAACAACAACATGAATACATGGTAAATCACTTGGACAAGAAATCAGTGTACTTGTGCATAGTTTCCATGAAACTGCTGTTTTGTACTGGTGTTGGCATTATTCCAAAGGAAATAAAAACCTACCCACATAATCACTGATTTATAAAACAATCAAACGTAAACAGCTACTCCCTGTTCAAGAGTACACACAATCTCTCTGACACTCAAGTCATACATTTTGATAGATTCTTTCTTATTGGGTGATCAGTTTAACTGTGGGTAAATGATTTTAACTATATATCAGACAGTGTATAGCAGATCCCTCCCATAAGTTAAATCCTTCTCAATAATTTATGCTTTGGACCAAAAGGCACTCATCACAGACCCTGACTATCAACACACTTCGTACTGCTTTGACAAACCTCTTTGTAATGGTTCTATAGACACCATGATTAGAATTATAACTCTGCATCAAAGGTGCCAAATAGTCATCAGATTCACCCCCACCACAATTTTATACTTTGTCTTTCTGCTGCCTTGATTCCTCTCTGACCTGTTTGTGGTGAGAACCAGCATCAGTCTTAATCCAAATGCTGTAAGTTTGACTTCGTCAGAGGAAAAGAAATGGTAACACTGAAATTTGAACAGTTATGTGTTTTGTTAGTGTTTTGTCTTTGAATAATAAATTAAAAATAATTCACTAATACCAGTTGCCAAAAATCAGTTAGCTCAGTTCATACCAAAACACGACACCTTTAAATACAGAACAGCACTGAGAGACTCGGCTCTGGCTCTGGAAGCATTCAAGGACATCAAAACTGCACACATGGTGGGGACTAGAGCACACACACACACACACACACACAGAGAGAGAGAGAGAGAGAGAGAGAGAGAGGGGGTGGTTCTTTGCTATAGTCTTAGGTAATGTGAGACAGCTGCCCCAAGTAGGTGGCCTCATAATTAGTTGGCTCTTCACCCTCTCTATATGCTTCACCTAAGAAAACCTGAAGCTATGAGGACAGCTGAGCAGCAGTTCCTCCCCACAGAAACACTTGCGTTGTGCACCAGACGTGGTTTTAAATGGTGGAGATAATTGCTTAATTCAAGCTAGAGCAACTGGCCAAGTAAACATGTAGCAGCCAGGAAGCTATTAGCATGATTTTAAGGCAATTATTCCATTAGTGTTTAATAGTCTCCAATTAGTCTGCTCTATCAAAATTTGAATGTCTTCTTTTTCTCCAAAAATTCTGTGTTGAATAATGCAGAAAGATCCCAGACTCATTTTAATCCCAGTTTTATAGTTAAGAATTCTGCCAAACCTATCTTGTATAACTATATGTATATTGGGGAATATATATTTGGTGAAATGGTGTGTGTGTGTGTTGTGTATTTCTTGGAAGTATTGGAGTGAAAGTGCAAGTCTTTGTGGGCCATTTACTTTAAATTTTATACTTAAAGGGCTTAGGAATACTATGGAAAGTTCGTATCTTCCAAATATCATTATGTTTATGCATATACCAGAGACCAGCAGAAAATCGAAGTCTCTGACCTCAAACTTCCACTTAGTCCCATTAAAGAGAAAAAAATTACCCTGTATCTACAATCTACAGATGCCTCAATTTTCACCTCAGTGAGAACTTGTTGCCTCTCAGTTATGCCCGCTATATATAACCAAGTCCTTACCCCTGCATTGATAAGAAATATTCCATAAAATTTTAGGATCAGATCACTAATTAGGTTTTAGGTTACTTGCCTGCACTGAGTTTCTGGGTCTTGTTTTGTGTTCTTCTGAAGGGGATGCTGCTAGGTTTTAGTCTGTGAAATGGGAATGGTAATTCCATCACTGCCTACTTTGCAGAGTCTTTGGAAGCATGTGAGCTAGCAGACACGAATTGGCTTTGAAAAATGAAGGGCTGCAGACATTTATGGTGAGGCTCAAATGTGGCATCACACCATCCCTCAGAGTTAGAATGCTACATCAGGCATTCAACTTCCTTGCCTCTCTGGAGACTCTCTTAGCAGAGAGCTATCACCTTGGTCCTTGCCCTGATTTCCAGCTTGGTGCCGGAAGCCGGTGGGACCACATGAAAATAACTGCCTAAGGAAACCAAGAGGAAGCAAAGGAAGATGAGGATGCCCGTGGAAGTGGGAGTGGAATTTCACTACCAAAGTTGTGTGCTTGCTTTCTATTCCTTCCGAAGAGCAATCCCCAGACTCACCAGGAGAACGGAACTGATTGAGGCAAAGGGGAAACTGGGTTATGCTTTACCAGACACCTGGGCCCCTGGGAGTCATTTGTTGAGGAAGGACGAAGGGAGAGACAACCTTTTTCTGAGGACAGCGCCACCAAACATCCACTCCAATTGAGTTAAGTTGCTGGTGAGTTCCAGCGCCTGTTGGTTAGACACTTGGGATTTTTTCCCCAGAAACCTGTTTTATTTCTTCCCTCTCTCTTATTTCTTAGGTTTCACTTCCACTCTGGTCCTCCAAACTCATATTTTCATGGGGGGTTGGGATGGATAGGAGAGATCAGAGGAAGCAGACCAGAATGTTGGACTTAATAACTCAGCTCTACTCTAGGCAAGGGGTTTGATTGTCTATGAGTAATTTGCCCTCCAGTCTAAGAATCAGATGTGCATACCCTCAGCCAACGTGCAAAACCGAATCGCTAAAGAAATAAAATAAGAGGCATTACCCCAGCTGCTGCGCTTGTAAACTGTCCAGAAACAGTTCTTAGACACCTGAGTTAGGGACTACTGTGTGCTCTGTCACAGAAAGCTGGCCAGTGCCTTGGCCCAGACCATGCACACCAGTCTAAAGCCTCTTGATGTCAGCAACTATACCTGGCTGGCCCTGAGCTTCCTTTCCTGTAGGCCACCAGCCCAGTCACCCTTTCCAGGGCAATCTGCTCATTATTCCCATCTCTAGGCTGCTGCTCCAGCGATGTTTACCGCCTGGCTTCTGTCTGGAGCAGCAAATGTGTGGTCTGCAGGGTTTGCTCTCCTCACCTAGGAGCTCTACCTTAAGCAGCTCTTTGACCAGACTCCCTCCCTCTCCAAGCCAATTAGGAAATGCTTGCTTTCTGCTTCTTGCCCCCTTCAGCTGGGTGTCAAGGACAGCGATTATGCTGCCACCACCACTACCGGTCCCTGAACTTTCATCGCTCTTCAGAAAGCGCTTTGTCTCTTATAAGGAGACTGGGCACGAATACTAATGAATCGGCTAGATTCTAACAGTGAAACTACCAAATCCTCCTAAGTCCACGCCAAGGATAGACTCGGTGATGTTCCAGCGCTAACTCCTGAGACAGCCAGCTTCCTCCAGTAGCGCACCATGGAGCCACAGACTCAGAAACCTGACCTGCCTTGCTACCAGACCCCTTGAGTCTTCAGGGAAAACCAAAGAAGGGGGCCCAGGGCGCGATCCTGGAACCACCTTCTCCCCCGGCCACAACCCTGTGAACACAGCCTATTTCTGAAGCCCAGGGGAAGCAGTCACCTTGACTCCCGGTGCCAGGGTCCTCCAGGGTTTGGAAAAGCCGGGTACCCACCCCCTGGACGAGCTTCCCTCCCGCAGGCACGAGGCAAGTTAGCACTGAAGCAGGGCGGGGCAGGTGTAGAGGGTACCTACCTGGGATCGCTAAATTGGTGAGGGGGATGCTGTGGATGCTCTCAGGCAGAGTTGCCATCCAGTCGGCGAATTTCAGCTCGTTTTTCCCCTGAGACGAAGCCATGGTGCCGGTCTGTTCGCCGCCGCTCTGGTCCCCACACTCCTAGGCACAAACTGGCAGCTGCTGCCGCTAAGCCAATGTTTGCTTCGGCCCCGCTAGAGTTTACACTCCGCTCTGCGCCACACCCACAGGATGGCGCAGACACATGCTCATTTTAATAATTATTCAAAAACACCCCATGCTCTCTCCTTGCCTTTGCCAGACTCCACTGCTGGGGCTTTTGTTCCTGACGTCCGTGCTCCTCTGCTCTCTGCTCTCTCCCCCTCCCTGCAGACTCCCTCCTCCAGTCTCACCCCTCCTAGGTGGCTCTGCCTTTCCTAGCCGTGCTGTGGTTCCCCACGGCTTCTTATTATTAGTCCTTTATCTTTTAAAAAACTTGGTTTTTCACGCTGCTTTGTTCCTGGTCTTTCTCTCTCCCTTGGTATGACTTCCTGGTCCTGTTTGCATGAAAGACAGTCTTGCAGTTGAATCTAAAAATACTGGTAGACTTTGGGTGTTCTTGCCTCCTGAAGATCATGCTGATCTTCGGCTCCCGGGACTTTGCATTCTTCCCAAAGAGTATTCCTATTCCTAAGCCACAACAGGTTATGCCCTCCCTCAGCCCGAGACCTCATCCCTATTTGTACAAAATGGTGGTCTTTATTTATCACTTTGCCTAGTTTTTGGAGGAGCTGATACACTCCGGCGGGGCAGTATGCATTACAATACGGTTCTTAATTTGTGGCTCCTGACATTTCATGGTCAAGAAGCACAGCGGCAGGTTGCGAGGACCCTCTATTTCTGAAGTGATGTCCTTCGTGTCTTGGTTTCCTGGCATGCAGGACAAGATGAAAGTCTGATGCTGGAAGGGAATCACATCTCCCAATGACATGCTGCAATTACTGCCAGTAGCATTTGGTGGAATGTATTTGGCACCGTTTGAAGTGATTTATGTGATTGTTTGGATTTTCATTCCTTGGCAGACAAGAGAGATGTGTCTCTCCAGAGAGAAATCACTCATGTGGCTCCAAAGAATTGTCTGGGTCCACCTGCTCCCAAGTGAGAAAAAAGGGAGCTCGTGCCTTAGAAATGTGATGAGACTGGCATTAGCCTGAATAGGACTACTTGAGTCGGACTGACATGTCTGGGCCTTTGCCGCTCAGACTAAGGATGGGCAAAAGGGGCTTGTTTTCCTGTGTAGGAGTGTGTAAATTCTTTCCCAGAGGAAAATTTATAAAGTTGAAGGAATAAAAATCAAGGTAGGAGAGACAGCAGCACTATGAAACAGGACAATGATCATTCCAGTTCAGTAAATCCATTTAGCATTTTAAAAGCCAGAGAGCCTTCTTAGTTTGTGCAAGCACGCTACATCCAGAGACAATTCCCATCTATTGGAAATTACTGTGGGGAAGGTAGGGAGAAGAGAGATAGTGCTCCATCTTTTTGATCAAATTTTCTTTTTCTCCCCACAGAGAGGGGAGGTAGGTGTCCTATCTTTAGGGTAGGTCTATCTCCAGGGATGAGAATGAGATGTACTGGAAGTTCTGCTCAAGGAACTCTGGACATTCTCACTAGCACAACAGACCCTCATATCATTTAGCTAAAATGAGAACCATCTCACTCTTAGCTTGTTGGCCAAGAGAGCTATAGATCACTTTTCTGACTAATGCCAGCATTCTCACTCTGAGCTTGTTGGCCAGAAGAGCTGTAAGATCACTTTTCTGACTAATGCCAGTATTCTTAAGGCAGCTGCACTGTCTCTGAAGAGAGCCCATCAGTAGAGTTAGCCCAGTTTTCTCCATTATATAGTCCTGATAACTGAGAGACTTGTGGTGACACTTCCAGGAGGGAATGTAGATGTTTACTGAAATAGGAGGATCTGTATATTCACTTCTTTTTTGTCTTTTTGAGACTGTCCTGACCTTTTATTCTTTCCAGAGTGGCAGATTAATTATACAACCCTGGAGATACTGTTTTGTAAGATGTACTTGAAAAATACTCTCTGTCCAAATGCATTGTGAGGATGTGTCCAGAAAACTTTAGGAAACCATTTTTAAAAGATGATTTTTGTCCTAAAGCAGAATTTCCTCTTCCTCAGGAAACTTGAATGTCTGTTCTTAAGGCCTTCAGCTGGTTGGATGAGGTCAATACATATGATAGCATGTAATCTGTTCCATTCAAATGATTGTGAACATTACCTCATCTAAAAACATTTGTATAGCCAACACCTACTGTAGTATTTGAACCAACAGCTAATCATCATAACTCAGCCAATTTGTGACAGGGAAGAAATCGTCACACTCACTGGAAACCTAATGCAAATAACTTTTTGAACAGCTAGTCATCATAACTCAGTCAAATTGTGATGTACAAAAACTCCATTATACTCATTGGAAAATTAATACAGAGTTTGCTATCAATCCCCAAATCTCTTTGGCACTCTATTAGCGTATTAGTGGAGTTTCACAATAATTTATCATTTTCTGGTTTCAATCTGGTGCTGGGATGAAACATACTGCTCAAATTCAACTTGGGGTGGGAAGGATTTATTTCATCTTACACTTCCAGGTCATGTTTATCTTTAAGGGAAGTCAAGGCAGGGAATCAACACAGAAGCCTGAAGGTCACACTGTTTGCCATTCCATGCAGTATTACCTTAGAGCAGTCAAAAGAGCACAGCAACAACCATGGTGGATGTTGCTTGTTAACTGACTTGCTTCCCTTATAGACTCATGGTTAGGATGCTCTCTTATACAACAGGAGTACCTGCCTGTGGATGGTCCCATTCACAGTGGGCTAAGTTCTCCTGCATCAATTAATTCTAAAAAAATCATCATATTCATGTCTACAGGCCTGTATGATCTAGATAATTCCTCAACCAAGATTTTTCCTCTCAGATGACCCTAAGCAGTATGAATCTGACAATTGAAACTACCTAGGACACCCACCTTTAAAAATCAAAGTCTTTTAAGCACAGGTGAAAAAGAGTAACATGAGTTGAAGTAGTATAGCCCCTTAAACTTCTTCACGCTGTCCATCAAACTCACACTATGTAAGGACCTAAAAATGGCTACCCCACTCAACCACCTCCTTACTTCCTGTTCACTTGTACCCATAAAAACACAGTAACTGTTTGCCTTATCTGTTCATTCAGTTCACAATCTCCCTTAATTGCTAAAATAAGTTTCCTTTTTAAGCTAAATTTATTTTGAATTGAGTTAGGAAAAATTGGGATTTCTAGAAGCCAGAAAAATCTATAGTGCATTTTGGTCAGATAATGCTTCAGAAGAGAACATCTGCTTCAAGCAATTCAATCATTGTATTTGAGACATTGTTTGCAAATTCATACTTTTAGACACAAGATTAATCTTTATGAGATTAATATTAATAATCATGACTTTCTTACCATTCTCATAGCACCTACATAAATATTCCATCCAAAGAAAGTTACTGTTTCTGAAATACAAAAAAAAATTGTTTACACATTTTAAGTTAAAACAGAGTTCAGTCCTCTCATTGCCACACTATTTTAACACTACAGAGTTTTCTTTCTTTCTGTATTCACAGTCCATATGTTATCCAGAAAAAGTTAACTAAATCTCCTCGATATACTTTAGTGACTGGAATGATAAGCTATGAGATCTAGAGAATTAGATTCTTAGTTAGGCTTCCATACTTAGTAGCTGTGTGTTACTTGGTTTCCTTTACTGGAGCTTAAAGACAAATGATTTGTCCCTGGGGAGAAACTATGAATTCTACGAAGTTGAAGGTAAGAAAGGAAATGTAAAGTTTATGGAACAGAATGACAGTTCAGAATACTGAAGTTCCTTGTTTGGATTCTCACCCTCTGTGCTTTTCATCCTGCTTAAGGTATACATGCTCTTCAGGCTTTCAACAGTCAAGATTCTTCCTACAAAACCAACTCCTCTTTACAATTGTCCTTACCATGCATAAGCAGAAGTAATCCCTCCTTCATCTATGCAATCATTGGTGTGTGTTTATGATTGAAATGTACCATGTTTCTGACTCCCTAGTAGGTCTTAAAGCACAATTAGGACAGACATAGCTTTATTTAGTATTCTATAATGCCTGTCACAATGCCTAATATGTAAGTGCACATTCTAATAATTAATTTTACTCTCTTATTTCATATGTGCTTTGTCCTAGGCAAAGAAAATGGAGTACAGAGTCCCTTAACTCTTTGAAGTTTTTGAATACATGCTCTAGGGGAAAGGTGTCAAATGATACCTCAATTGATGAATAAATAAGTGATGTAGATGTGTCTCTCACACTCAGGGAATACCTTCTTTAATGTCTCTATTTTTAGTCCTACACCAAACAGAAAAATTGTCAAAGGCTTAGACCTTATTGTTGAAAATACATGTTGAAAGAAGGATTGATTTAGGAAAACACCTGGCTGCTCTGACTCTCTATGTGGTCCCTGTTTATCATCTCCTTCCCATTGCTATCTTAATAAGTTAGTACTGGCATTTGGAAATTCCATTTGGTACTCTTCTAGATCCTCAGAGGTCTGTTACTACTAAGTACATAGTTTCTGAAAGCATCAGGATTGGTAGAGATGGGGATAGCTTGGAAAGGAAGAGAAAAAATGCTTCAGGTCAATGCACTGAATTAGAAAAAGAGATGAATCAGAAAAAAAGCTATTCTTGTCATTGACAAAAATTGCAATATCTGTATCAATGATATTTGTACCACAAGTCAAGAGCAACTCAAAAAAACCACATAGGGATAAACAAATGTGGAAGAATTGGGATATTAGTCCGCTTTAAAAGGGAATGTAGTCGTAATATCTGCTTAAAAACCAGGAAATTTGAAGAAAATATGCCCAAAAAATGAATATTGCACGATTCCACAAATCTGAAGTTCCTAATTAGTAAATGTATAGAGACAGAAATTGGAATACTTGCTATCAAAGGAAGGGGCCATAAGGAATAAAGATTTATTGCTTGGTGGGTAGGACCTCACTTCGGGGTCCTTAAAAGTTTCTGGAGATAATGTACAGTGCAGTGAAAGGACATTGTGGTAAATGCATTTGGAGCCACCCAAATACACACTTAAAATGTCTAGGATGGCATTGACTGCTGAATAAATTATTATGCTAATTTAATCGATTATAGAGATCCCTTTGTTTGATAGTTCATCTTCCAGGCAATAGCTAGAAAGAACACACTTGGACTTGAGGGAATACCATTTACTATCTGCTGCAGTGAGGCAGTATATAATCACAACAATCCAGAACAAAACTATGGAGTGAAGACACATGCTGTGTATGTCCTGTTGTATTCTTGTGTTCAGCAGAACCCGAAGGCTTTGCTGATAGTGCTGGCACAATCCCTGATGCCAAGGAGTGTTTTCCTCTTCTATTAATAAGAAGTGCACAGAACAGTAAAATTTATCTAAGGATACTCTATGCTGACAATGCTGAATTTCATTGTTAATGTTAAC